CACAACAGGGTGATACCCAGCTGAGCCATGAGGGGTGGGGGAAGCTCTGTAGAAAGCACAATTTCTACAGTGACATCTCATGAACTATGTAACTTCATACCAACCCTACTGACAGCAATGTCAGTGAAGAATCCCCACTAACTCAGAGAAAGGTATGTGTTCATATACACAGTGAAGAAAACAGCACAGACTCATTGCAAGGCTAGTTTTGCAAGATTCCCTTCTTCACAGACAAGTATAATTTTTCCCCCAGACACAACGGTAGTTTCATGCATTATATTGCTTGTTTTACAAACCAGGAAAGGAACCGTCTGAAAATACCTGCAGACATGCGCATTAAAAATGACTCACTTTTATATGTCCTCCAAATGTATCGAAGGAGAAAAACTGGCATTGATTTTGTCCATAACAGGAGTCTTCCATTTCTCCTTGAATAAGTATATTTCTAGTCAGAAGGCCAACCTCTGCCCTCATATCGATGCCATCTATGACTTCTCCAATATGAAGATAAAGTGGGCTGCCTGTGAAAATCAGAAATCTCTTTATTCAGGGTGAGCACAGCATCTTCATTATTGACTTGTTCTAAGCAAATGCACACTTTGAATTTAAGCAGTCACCAAGTCCAGAGACATGCCCAGTTGCTAGTATCTGATCCCAGAGGAGATCAGGACTTCCCTGGGCTTCTGCAAAGGACTGATGCCTCTGGTCAAGCTTTCAAGTCCAAATATAATATTGTGGGCTTCACCTCTTGTATGTGTTCATGTGTTTATGGGACAAAAATCTAGCTAAAAGGACAAGCAAATGTAAAATGTAAAAGACAAGCCAATGTAAATATTTACCACAAATGAGTAGCTTAATAAAAATATTTCATACCATCAATTTTCACTTGATTACTTTTACATTCAGGGCAAGGAAGGAGATTAAACTCTTCAGCCTGATGCATAGAATAATCTGTACTAGCAACAACAATTCGGTCACCAGGTAACCAACTGGTAACCTCATCCACCAAGTGGAGAATTATTCCATTGGATGCTTCCACTTTAAATCCATTATGAGGCACCCCTGAAAAATGAAGCAATCAATTATTTTTGCAGTTGTACTTGACACAATCATGCAATTAGTGGAAGAGCGTATCAATTTAATTTTTATGTAGGTAACTGGGTGTAATAGAAGGGATCAAGCCATTAACTATGCCAGTGTAACTCTTTGTAGGCAGCTAAAACTGTACTTTGCAAGAGTGGTGTTGTTAGCTTGGTCACCATCTATGCAAGCACGACTATGGTATTATCATATCTCCCATCTCTGGAAGTGTTCAAGGACAGGTTGCATGGGACTTTGAGCAACCTGTTCTAGTGGAAGGTATAGCTGCCCACGGCAGGGGGCTGGAACTAGATGAGCTTTAAGATCCTTTCCAACCCAAACCATTCTGTGGTTCTATGATTAGCATTGCACTGTTGGGATTCACAGCAGCCAGAAGAAGCAGAGCAAAGCAACAAAAGACAAGCAATTGTCAGGGCAGACTGAACCTTTTATCCATCCACTGAAAGCAGTAACGGTAAACCGCATCCCGTCGTAAGTGAGGAATTCTCTTCGGGCTACTGCTAATCCCGTGGTTCCACTCCCGTGGTACTCCCGTTTATCCTCTGCTGTGGAAGGCTGATCCCCTCCTAGGATACCCACCAGCGCCCAGGGCTCCCTGAGGGAGATGGAAGGAGTCGGTGACATCCCGAGCCCTCCACTCCCGAGGACCTCTAGCAGAAGCGGGTCCCTGCCTCTTCACCCTTCCTTCCCCCGATTCCCGCCCGCTCCGAGCCCCCGGGGCGGGAGCGGCGGCCCCGGCGCGCCGGAGCTGTCCATGGTGTTGCCGCTGGCCCGCGCCCCCCCGCCCGCCGCCCCTTACCTGTGTCGCAGGCGGGAGATGTGCGCGCTGCCCAAGCGGTCCCGCAGCAGCAGCCGCGTCTCCAGCGTGAGGCTGCGGGCGGCAGAGTCCCCCACGGCGGCCGCCACCACGGTGCCGGGGGGCTGCATGGCCAGGAAGGAGCGCAGCCGCCCGCACTCGCCGTGCCGCAGGTGTGTGTCGAAGCGCGCCGCCGCAAGCACCCGCGCCGTGCCGGCGTCCAAGATGCGGAGGTTGAGCCCGCGGCTGCCCCACCGCCTCTCGGAGAAGTAGGGGCCGTAGCGGAGCCCGCCGGGATGCAGCGTTTTGTCCAGGAGGGTCCAGGAGTGAGGCCGCCGGCCGTGCAGCTCCAGGACGCCACCGAGCCCCACGCCCAGGAACTTCTGCCCGAAGCCCTCCACGGCCTCCCCGTCGGTGGCCAGCCCGTACAGTGAGATAGTTGCCCTCGAGCCGTAAGGGCAGCGCTCTGAGCCGATGTGCAGCTCCCCGCCGTCGTGGATGAGGATGTAGCGGGCGCGCAGGGTGATGGGCGGCCCGCGGGGACAGTCGGCGAACACCAGCTTCCCTGTGGGCGAGGGAAGAGAGAGGGAGGGGGGCTGAGGGCGCGCACGGCCGGGGCCGGGAAGTGCCACCCACCGGCAGCTACAGCCCGGCAGCCCGTCCGGGCTCTTGCTGCCCCGCTTACCTCCGTCGCGGATGACGAGGGAGTGGAAGGCAGCGGAGCTCTCCAGGCGCAGAGCCTCCCCCCGGCCCACCACGGCGATGCGGCTGGTGTCGGAGCCGGGTCGCCACGGGGCGAGGTGCGGGTCGGCCTCCGGGCAGGTCCCTGCAAGAGACGGGAGGCAGCGGCGGGGCACGGCGGGGAGCAGAAAGGCGCGGAGGGGCGCGGTACCAACCTGATGCACTGCCGTCGCTCGCTGCTTCCCGATACGTCCCGCGGCGGCGCCGAGACCGAGATCGGCTCCAGGTTCGGTTCCGGCGCAGAGGGCAGGAGGAGCCGCTGCTCCCCGTGTCCCGGGAGCCCCCGCAGTAGGTACCTGCCCCCTGTAGCCGCGGGCATCCCCGCCGCAACACGTGCGCCGCCGCGCCGGCTCCTTCCCGCGGATTCGCGCGGGGCCGGCGCAAAGGCACATTTTGCTTTTGATGTGTTTGGGGATTTTTGTCCTCCTTTCTCCTCTCCGCTTAAAGTAGCAAGATCAAAACCAACAACACTCCCCCTTCCCCCCCCAGCTCCGCAGAATCCCAGACACGGCGAGGCAACCACAACAGCAGCAAGAACAGAGAGCCGGCGAGGAGGAAACCCCAGCGGCAGATGGACGAGAGACAACATCGAGTTTCAAACTTGAGCTGCAAAGACCGCTTACCTATCCCCGGCAGCGCCGAGCTTCGAACTTTGTTCGCCGCCTCTCGGAAGCTCCCGACCGTGCTGCCGGGCTCCCCGGCGGCGAAGACAGGGGGCGGGCAGGGGCAGGGAGGCGCAGGCAGCTCCCGCTACTCCGCTCCGGCTGCCTCCCCTCCGTCTCCCTTTTTATATCCATCTCCCAACCGCTGGCGGTGCCCGCACTGTTTACAGCGGCGGAGCTGCTGGCTCCTCCCAGCCGGGGACGATCCTTCCAGCCTGGACGTATATCTGCAACCGGCGGTCCCATGCCCGCGGGAGTACTGCTGCCCGCAACCAAGTCTTCCCCTGCTCCGAGCCCCCGGGGTCCCTGCCGGACGCCGCAAGGTGACGGGGGAGTCTCGGCCCAAAGGCTCTGTGCAGACCCGCGGAGCCCCGGCTATGTTCAAAGCCCAAAACAAAGCCTGTGTCTGGGGTGCCAGGTGCCTCCAGGAAGGGCAGGGGGCTGAGGTGCCCCAGCCGCTATTCTGGTCACCCGGCTTGGCATGGCTTGGCCCAACTTAAAAGGCAGCTGGCCCTTCTGCCACCTTCCCGTGGGGGTGTCTAGCAGATCTATGGAGAACATTGTAACCTGGCAGTTGCTAAAGCTCCCCTGACAATGGGTGAGCAGAGGGGTATCTGCTACTTCACCTCCCAGCCTGCCAAATCAACCTGTAGTCAACCTGTGGTGAAAGAGAGGGGAAGCCTTAGAAGGTGCTCTGACAAGAGACAGGCTCAAAGAAACCCGTGTGATTCAACCCACATGACCTGGGACTGCGTTCCTGACTATTGCAAGTCCTTGTCTGGATTCCAGTGTCAAAGACATGTCACTGCCCACAGAAGGACCATCAGACACTGGTTTGTTTTCCATGAACCAGAATAACTATACCATACAGCACAGCTGAGCCTCCAGGTGACACATAAAGACAGGTAAGTGCTGTTCTCCCTCCAGAGGCTACACAGAACCCTTCATCTCAACTCCAGAGCCCCACATCCAGAGAGGATAAGGCCAGAATCAGTAAAGTGACAGTGCCAGCCACTGCTCCTGCCCAGCATCAAAGCCAGACGGGTGCAAAGCCACAGGCACCGATCTCAGAGACATTTGTGTGCCATCATCTGGCCAAACTGCTCCAATCTGTCACCCCTGAAATTTATTCTGGTGAAGGATTTCTTCTGACAGAGGGCACAAAGAGCCTATAGTCATGTTAATAAGGAGCAAGTGCTGTCAGACAAAATATGGGAACAGACTGGAAGCAGGAGGTGGGTGAGGGGCACAGCCATGCCCCACACTCCATACAACAGCTCCAGAGAGGGAGCAACGTTCACTTGTGTTATACAAGACCCATTTACACTCTTACACCCTGTCCTGTGAGCCCGAGCATCGCTAAATGTGAAGATAAGCATCCAGCCTAGAGAAACACATCAGATAACCCTCCCTCATTTCAAAACTCCATACATACAGGGAAACATCAGAGCTGCCACCTCGGCTGCCGGCTGTTCATCCATCATTTAGTGCTGGCACTTCTATTCCTGTCTCAAATAGCTTTTGTCATTTTCCTTCCAAAAAAAGCGGCTTTACTCAGCATCATGCCTCATTCTTATCTGAATATGACACATATGAATGCAGGTCATGGGAAAGCGGAGCTGTTATCAGAGGTATAGGAGGCAGAAAGTTTTATCTACCACTGGAAATTTCAGGCAAGAAAAGACAAATTGGAGTATTTTGTGCAAAAGATTTCATGGACTTGCAATGTAAATAAAAGGCAACAATTAATCTGATATAGAAATAGTGGAAACAAACATAACACGGGCTTTAGTTCACACTAAACATTGTGCTGGCATCATGAAATGATCAGTGAAGCCAAAGCTGCTTCTCTTTACATGGGGTTTTCCTGAACAAGAGCTCCACGTTTTTGAGGTGTGAGCACTGTTTAAGCCAGTTTCCGTCTTTAGCCTCAAAATCCACAGAAATACACTGGTTGGATTCTTTTCCTGAAAGAACTACATTCAGGAGAATTATTTCAGTGCTATTTCCCATTGGATCAAGCGTTCAGGGGCCTGAGAAAGAAGACTTCAGAGTAAATGAGACAGGCCACATCATCCTGCTTTTCTGAAGATTCCTATCTCTGTTTAAGGAAAACACGGAAGCACCTATCTGTAGAGTGATGCTTGGGGGCTAGACTGTTCTCCTTCCAGTCTTTTCCAGATTGCATGTTGCAAGATGATTTCTGTTTCGCAGCAGTGCTGGTTTGAAGCATACGCAGCCTGTTTGAAGCTCACACCATCACGCTCTGCTACAGGATGCGCCCACAGCGCAAGAACATTCCCAAACATCCTCACACCTGCAAGTGGGAAATTCTGACTAATCCTGCCTCAAACAAACAGCTGTTAAACTCTCCCTCACACAAATAATCAACCCAACCCCTCCTTTAGGCATTATTGTGGGTTATAAACTGAAGTTCACCTTTCTAACAAAATTGGGTCATTTTCTGAAAAGGGCTGTCAGGCATGAGGTGACCTCTCCCACCCCGTGTCTCAGTGACTGTGGTGTTTTGCTTACAAACACGACCAAAACGCTCAGTCACAAGGATCAATGACTGGCGAGGATCCGTTTTAAGGCAAAATAGCAGAAAACAAGGCAGCTCCGGGTTTGGCTTCCAAGCACAGCCGCCCCTTCCAGGAGAAACAGCTCTCGCACATGAATGCATAGAGAGGACGGGTCCTCCTCTGTAAATGATTTTCCCGGGCACACTCCCTCGCTAGACAGTTTCCCGTTTCCTTCTTGCTAGTTAAGAGAAAGGAAGGAGAAGCGGAGTCAGCATCCCCTGGGCAACGCCCGTTCCCACGGAGCTAGAGGCTTCACGGGATGACCCCGGGGCGCCCGCAGCAGGGCCATGGCCAGTCCCGGTCCCAGCTCAGACCACGCAGCCCGGACCCCCCTTCCCGGAGCACACCCCCCTTGTCCGCAGGGAAAACGGGAAACGGGGAACGGGCAGCGACGGGCGCTCAGCGGGCTCCCCGTGCAGTACCGCAGCCGGCCGGGAGGGGTCGCCCTTGCACAGCCCCTACCCGCCCCTCAAGGCCACGCCCCCTGCCGGCGCTCCCACATTAGTTAGTTAACGACTCGGATCCGGTTTTCCTTCTCCCATCCACAGATCCCGCAATTCCCCACTTGTTCTTTCGAATTCCCTTCACCTTTTCAGCACCCCGCAGCTGTGTTTCCACAGATAAGCACCAGCCCGGAGCAGGGGATGGAGCACATCTGCTTCCATCCGGAGATGGAGGAGCCATGGACAACACACTCCTACTACATTACAGCCATGCTCCGTGCCAAATGATACCACAACAGGGCTTTTAGTGCCTGTATTGACCCCCACACAACTCCGTACGAGCACTCATCTAGCATGCCCTCCTCTGGAGGCAGCAACTTACTCCAATCTGCCCCATCCCAGAACTTTTGCTTTGGGCTGAGCCTGGCTCTAGCTCAGCCTGAACACTGAGTACCAGCTTCTGGCATGACCCAGGACAACTACGTACCCAATTGCACGCAGTGACATCCACCCCTCTCATGGGCAGCACAGAGCCTGGCCCTATGGCTCTGCTCAACCTTCATCACAAAGCATTTGAGATACCAAAACCGTGTCTCCTCCTTATATACCTACCACTTTGTTCCTTCTCAGGCTTCAGCGGTGCTTTCCTTGGGTTAAGCATTTGCTTCTTGAGCCGACTGAAGGCCTTGGACTGCTGAGTTTCGGACAACACTCCCATATTCCTGAGGAGCTGCAGCACTCTGTGCAGCAAGAACGGCTTCACCTTGTGCTGGGCCACCTTGAGAGGACCGATACGGATTTTGGGCAGGTTAACTTCTCGATCACAGTTATAAAACCTAAAAAGATTCCAGGCCAAGCTAGATCCAAAGGTATCCTTTAAAATATATCTGGAAAGTTTAAGGAGCATGTCACAGGACAGCTGCTTTTCTTGTGGTTTCTGGCCCAGGTTCTGGGTTAAGCTCTTCCTTCCCTCATGGCTCAGGAGAGAGCGGCTCCTGAGTGGGCTGGAGGAGCCCAGGGTCTCAGGAAGGGTTTTCTTACTGTGAAACAGTCTTTCATGATCCATATCCCACAAAGAAGTGTTGGGATTCAGGCTGTGTTCTGGAATAATCATAAATACAGTGAAACCTATTAAACAAACAGCGAAGAATCCCAATGGCTTTCTTTAAAGTATATATATAAGTACACACATTTACCAGAGTTCTGCTGTAGCCCTGGATACAGTGCAGGCCCCTGCGCTGCTTTGACAAACTCACTGAATGTTTTTACAGGCCAAGTCAATAGATTTGCAATAGATAGGGTTTAAATGCTATAGTATAATAATGATTATTGGTTAATTTTAATTGGAACTATTTTTTCTTTGTAATCCTCAGAAAAACTATCTTTGTTACTTATACAGACACTCCAGATAACTAAAAAACCTCAGTCACCAAAACAGTATATACTATTTCATAGAAATTTTCTGCAAAACATTAAGAAAAATAATTTTCCTATCAAAGACTACAAAAGCCTTTTTCATACGAGACTAAGCAAGAAAATGTTTACATTCTTTCTGGACCATTTGCCTTTTGGGTCCAGCCCCAGGGCCCAGCACAGCCTCCAGGTTTCCAACAGATATAGGTCAGGTTTAAATGAAAGCCTTGGTTTTGCTTTCTAGGTGATGTCTCTGGATTCTGCCTGCTGATTAAAGTCATCAGCCTGCTGTAACAGGGTTAAGCTGTGACTGCTCTGAGGCCACAGCAGCTTCACTTATGGACAAGAAGGTGCTCATATGGGAGAACTGGGACTCTCTGGAGCCATACTCGGCTCTCCCTCATCCAGGCTGAGCCTGAAGATTGAATTTACACTCTGAGAACTGATCAATAAAACAATTAAAAGCAATGTAAGTTAGGCTGGGTCTTGACAAGGAGTAGGGCTGCAAACACACAAGAAAGCTCTAATAATTAGAAGGGACAAAGGAACCCCAAATGCAATCACACCTTGCCAAAAGTATTTCAAAAAGTTAATGTTGTAACGTAACAGCTAAAGGCTGGAGGTCACGTCCTGGGAGCCCTGGAATGTGCCTGCAACCTCACTTTCATTTCTAAGCAGAGAACAAGATTTTAAGGAATGCTCTTCTATTTCCTAGAGGTGGATCCCAGCCCAGCACATTTCAGAAGCTTCAGGTATTTATTTTTGTTTGCCTCAAGGTTATCAGCTGCAAGTAGCCGTGACTTAATGGTCCAGGGGGTTCTTGCATATTGTAATCATGTTAGTGGACTACTCAATTTATGGCTATAATTCATTCCTGAAATATAACGTATTAATTAGAAGCTACAAAATGTGACTCATACGACCAGATGGCAGCAGATAACTCAGGGAATTGCCATAGCAAAAGCAGCATTTCACATCTTCACTGCATCTTTCATTCCAAGCAATCAATAGTCATTGCAAGAGCCCTGTTCATAAAGCCCCTGAGGGATCAATGAGCTGTTCACTAGATTACTGACGGGCTAATGTGAGGGGAGCAAACAAGGAGAGAAGAGGAAGGACCCAGCTCCAGGAGGACCCCAGCAATATGTGGTCCATATTACCCCCTCCTCCTGCACAGACATCTTGGGGGATGGATGATCCATGCCGAAGAGGAGTGCATGCACCACTGCCATCCAGTAAGCCAAAGGGAAAGTGCTCTGGGCAGACCCAAAGAGAAAAGGGCTTTGGGGCAGACTCAAAAGCCTCCCTAAGTGCACCTAATGGCACCGTTGCAGCAGAGTGGCTTAAAACGTAAGTAGTGTTAAATCTTTAAGTATGTCTGTAAGCTTTCTAGAATAAACTGCTGCGTAAAACGTTATTTAGCATAAACAAAACTTTGGATCAATGTCTTGTTTTCAGAGGCAGCCCTTAAACTAAAAAAGGCCTGAGGAACTGAAGAAGAAAATACATTAAAGGCCCATTGCATGCAGTCACCTCCAAAGCCACAGCCAAATCATGCCATCTGTCTGCGTCTGGAAGTCAAACTGGAAACCAGAGCCGCGTTCCCCTTCCGTCTGTTGTTCAGACAACAGCCACGCTCCTTCCCTCTCCCGGGACCGCACAGCCAGGACCTCGCGGCACCGACACCCGCTGCTGCAGCACCGCCTTCCCCTCTCCTCTTCCTCTCCCCCGCCCTGCCCACCCCACCTCCGGGCACTCCCGGGGAGCCCGGCCCCGCTCGCTACTGACCGTGGCCGCCTGCCGCCAGCGCCCCGGGCCGGGCACCCGCCAGCAGCAGCAGCAGCAGCAGCAGCGGGAGCAGCCGGAGCCGGGCGCCGGGTGGGTTCCTCGGGGGACCCGGGGCACCTGGAACAGACACAGAGCCAGGGTTTATCCCCGCGGAGCCCCCCATCACCCCGCCAGCAGCGCTGCTCGCCCGGCGGGACCGCATGGCTGCCCGCGTCCCTCCTGCCGGCCCGGTGCGGTGAGCCCCGCGGAGCGCAGCCCGGCCCCGGGGCTGGGCGGGTCGCGGCGGGAGGGATGGACCCCGAGCTGGGGGCACAGCGCTGGTTGTGCAGAGCGGGGCCCGGCCCGGCTGGCACTCGCGGGCAGGGGAGCGGAGATGCTGCGGGCTCTGCCCAGGGGAAAGACTTCGGCCACGTCCCACACCGAAAAGAATGAACGCACCTTTGTGTTCAGCAGCACAAGCACAGCTAGAAGCACAGGGGATAGCGGCCAGTACAGAACGTGCCCGCTGCCCGGCAGACCTGCAGGAGCCCAGAGATCTATTGTAAAATGCAACGTGTGCCGGCTTTATTGCCTGCCACCGCCGTGGTGCAAGGAAACCAGCACAAAGCGTGTTCACCTATACAGGAACCAGAAGACAATTTACAGTTAAGGTGCTTAAGGTGGAGGGGTGAACTTGGGTTTTCTTTCCTTTTTTAAGCCAGCAGGCATGTTCCTCAAACACTTTCTGCAAAATCAGTTTGCAGGAACCCAGCTCCAGAACCAGACCTTGCCAGAGGCATGGTGCCAAAGGAGCAGTGCTCACACTCCTGCTGCAAGGACCAGCTTGTGCTTTCTACTGTTGTGGCAAAGTTACGAGACCTAAATACAGCACAGTTGAAATACAACCTCCTGCTTCGAAATTTACACCATCTAAGAAATGCTGCTGGAATTTGAAAACACCACATGCTAAGCAGGTAGTTTCTGTGCTTGACCTTATTCCCAAAGGGTGCCCACCAAAAGCTCAGCCTACCCTGAACCAGCACTAGCCGTACAAAACCTTTGCGACACAAGAAATTTCACACCTAAAATCACCGGTGAATTGCACGGGGAAGGATACAGAGAAATAAATTAAATGGATTTAAACAAGATCATTAATTTTCATTCATGAAAAAGACCCAGGGAAGAAAACAACTTCCAAATGAGAACAATCACAGTTTACTGCTGAGCAAATAACCAGAGGAGGAAAGCACATTGGTTCTTTACTTCTGTGTTCAGTATAATTTAGAAAAAGCAAATATGATGCAGAGTTTATAAAAGATGGGCACTGTACTAAGTGTGAATACAGGTTTGGGCATTTAGAAAGCTGATGGGTCAGTGCCCAAAGCAGAACTGCCACAAACTACAGGAACAACATGTGAGAACAAGGAACTGAAATGCAGCAGAGGCAACACAGGCAACAAGTCTCCATGCGAATGTAAGTCAAATTTGTAACAATTACATGTATTTCAAAAGGATGCTTATCAAACACCGGAGAAAATGCCACCTCTAACGTTTTAATAAGTATTTTCCTGTGTGAAAATACAGACAACTCCTGACACATACATGCCACATCTTACCTCTCCTAAAACCAGAAGTACATCACGTATGGCTGTAGTATATGAAAAACAAAGCTAAGTCACACAATACAAGTGGATGGAGCATCCACATCAAGAAAATAAACATGTTAAAGAGCCTTGGAAGCCCCATTGCATGATTTACCCAAGCACAGCCATCCATTTTTACATGGACACCTTGGTAGCTCCAAAATGTCAGCAGTTTGCTGGAACAGGTGATTTCTTAGCCCAAAGTTTCTCTTCCATAAGCTCACACCACCCTCTTTCCCATCATCAGTGAAAAACTCTAACCTTTTTTTCTTTAAAGAGATTGGGACCTGACATCCACTGCCTTGTGAGGAGTTTCACAAGCTGGCCACCAGGTTTTCTCAACCAACAATTCTACTGTTGCCCACCAGTGTTTTGAAATGCCTCAAATAGTGATGCTTTGATACAAGTTTGCAATATAAAGAATTATAACAACTTCACAATTCATTTAAGAACTACTGGATGGGAACAAGGACACAAGAAAAACTATTTCAGGGACTGACCAAACAGGTAAATGAATTACTGACTTAAAAGAGAGGGAAGAGGATCCATACCAGCGCCATTAACATTTTAATTAACAGCAAAACATTTGTACTAGTTAAATGTAGATAAACTTCACAAAGCCAAACAGACAATGCAGAAGCCAGAATAACAGCCAAGCACCTCTGCGAACTAGTGAGGCAGGAATTTGGAAAAATAAAAGATAGCACAAGTGGAAATCCACAATCCAGCCAGAACAGAGAACTCAAGTCTGCATGTGCAGAGACAATGGGACATAGGTTACAATGTTGAATCCAGATTTGGGCTTCTCATTAACAGAAGAATACTGACAAAAGCAAAGCAAATGCAAAGACAACTCACAATATGCCTGCAGGAATTATAACAGTAGTAATTGAAAAAAAAAATTGATTTATAGGGAAACGGTTAAAGATACCAGTTTGTTGAAGAGAAAGCGTAGCTACAAGGGGTGAGGAAAAGAAGAAACATTATAGGCTTAAGTCTTCAGAGCAGCACAAAGTTCAATGTGGGTATCAAAAGACAACGCCTAATTAAGTAAAAATTCCCCAAGTGACTCCACGGACAAGCTGATGCTCTCAGACATCACCTTGAACACCTGTACCACAGACATCAACTTTGTTTCCACAAGAACACATGAAGAAATGGAAGAACATATACTGCAAATTTATGAAGGCGTAAAATGAATACAAAGATATGTATCTGAACACAAAGAGGGGAAGCAGCTAGTTTGAGGTGATGATTAGGCAAAGCCTGGCAAGAGGACAGCCAGGGCCCTGCTGCTTGGGCATTTAAAACTCACAACTGGGCAACACAGATGCACAGATCCAGATTCTAAGGATCCAGATGATGCGGAGCAGGATGGGTGTCCTCATTTCCTCCCCTCTGTAAGTGAAAATACCAGTTTTTCTCCTTTTACAGTAACAAGGCCAAGTCAATAATCAAAGACAATAGACACACTTGCAGTGTTGAAAATTAACTGCAGGCCTGTTACAAGGACTCGTGACAACAATGTTCAAACATTTCTCCTAAGCAATGAATCGTGATTTTTCGTTACTTAAAACCAGCTGAACACCATATAAAAGTAACCTCTTTTACATTTTATTTACATACCAAGCTTCATGGGAATGCAGCTTTGTACCTGAGGAGTTTTCCTTGAAAGGAAGGAATTAAATAAAGAAGTTTAAGTTACTCTATCAAATAATCTGTACTTCATACATCTCTTATGCATGAAAATTATGTGCCAAATAAGATTCAGAAATTCAGCAAGCTCTAATCCATGCATCCTTTATTCCATTACAATCACTGTGCTGCATTCTAGCAACAGGACACGAACTGCAATCAATCGCGATCAATTTATACAACAATCTGAGGCTTACAGTACATTTAAGGCCTTTAAATTTGGAAAAATTAGACCTATGCTAGTAGTGTAACAATTTTTAAGTGTCTTGCATTTCTGATGCATAATCTGTGCGATTCCAGTGTCAAAGAATCAAATTACTTCCAAACTAAAAAGATCAGCTCAATGAAAATTTAGTTACATAAATTCATCAAAACATAAATGTGTAAATTTTTATTATTTTTTTTGTCCTGGAAACTTTATAAAACTTTAATAGCAAAATAATATAGGGATAAAAACATATTTTAACAAAATGTATTCAATCATATACAAACCAGAATTTTGCAGTTTATTGTAACTAGACTTAAATTAAAACTACCAATTAAGAATCTATGCACAATGTAAATTCAAATATGTACAGTACTTTTAAAAAGTCTACAGGAATGCTTTACAGAAGGAAATGTCTGTTATGGCTATTATTCAGACCATCTGAATATTAAAATGAGTTTTCTAGTAGTAAATTTACACATTTATTTTTAAACAAAAGCAATTTTTGTCCCTAGTTCCTTTAAGAGTAATTCCAGTTACATTTATACAGGTAAATGGAGAGGTCATTACAGAGTTTAGCCCCATATAGTAGTTTATTTTCAGGAAAAAGTAATATTTAAATAATTTACTTGGGAAGATCAGTAAGTTAACAAAAGAACACTAGAAGGGAGGAGGGGGAACTTCATCACAATAACTTTCCAGTTAAAATACCACAGCTAGAAACTTTACAGAGAAAGTACTCCCTTGGATTGAACCCATGACTGATTGTTCAGAACAAGCTGTAGCTCATAACAGTGTGTTCTCCACACTGAGAACACTGGGGAAAGAAGTCTTTGTAAGGACAGAATTACAATCTGAAGTGAGACAAAGAAAACTGATCTTCGATTAATACAGCACTAGGTAAAAAGTGTCCCCATAAGCAGCTAGTATTCCCACTTCCTCCAGGGCAACGAAGCTAAAAATTGTTGGAATTACAGTAGTTGACCATATTTGTGTGCATTAGTAGAATAAATTCCAGATATAAAAGACAAATTTCATCAGATGTTTGATTAGAACACCCTAATGACAGGGTATTTCTTCATAGTATAAAGCTATTACAGCTATCCAGTTAAAGCATGTGCAAAACCAGGTAATTTCTTCCGTTCACAGTAACTGAGGTAAAATCAGGTAGGCTTCTTCAGGAGTTGGGAAGTTCATGAGATATGAACTGTTTTAGTCTCTCTAGATATTGTGCATAAAGCTCTATGTCATTATGCCCAGCGCCTTCCACCCAGAGAGGCTCTACTGCTCGTGGACATCGCTCGTACATGGCCAGGCCGTGGGAGAAATCTATCACCTCATCTTCGGTACCATGGATTACCAACACCGGAGAGGTTACTTTAGATATCTTGTCAATGCTGTGGATAGAAAAGAAAAAACAGCTCAGTTTGGGGCTTTATCTTTTACATATAAAGAAAGCAACCTTAACTATCCATACGTGATTCAGTTACCACTGCATATTTTTAAAACGCTGCAAAACATTGCACTTGTGCCCGAGTGATATGGAACAAGGACCCTGCACTGCCATCCCCAGCATCCCACCAGTTCTGATGACAAGAAGCTCAAATGGGCAGCAAGCAAATAAAGTCTGGCACCAAAAAAAAAACCCAAAACAGTGAGTATATCTATCACAGAAACTACTGAGACGCAAGGAAGATTCTACAGGACATACTGCCAGTGTGGACTCTTCACATCAATTCCTAATCTGTTAAATTTTAAGGTGGTAATTAACTACATTCCAGTCATAAGACTTCATTAAAGAAAAGCCTTAGCTCATGAAGTTTTCACCTGTCTTTTAACCCTCAAATTAGGTAGACTCAGCTGGAGAAAAACAATCTGTTCTTTCCACTGATTAAGTTCAAATGACAAAAGAGAAAACTGTGGGACAAGTACACTACACAAGGATATTTAACCAGAAAAAACTCTCACAGGATTTTACTTCATGTAACCAACTTCTCTGCCAGCTCTCACTGCAAAGTGGTCTAAAACTTTTTCTATTTGCTCCAGCTACCTTAGCAGATCAATATGGCTAGTGGACACCTCTCACAGGAAAACAGGTTCAGAGAAGAGGGAAAAGTGACAAAGGCACCTTCACACCTAAGAGTCTGGGCCAGAAAATTTCAATTACAAAGTAACTTCCAAGTAGTAAACAGCAGTTTTCTCCGTCTTCATTTAGGCACCAGCTTTTATTTCCTATCAGCCATTTCATGCTCGTAGTTACCAATAATTACAAACCAGTATACAGACACCAACTGCTAATGAACTCTAAGCTTCCTACCATCTCCACTTTCACCAACGAATGGATGAACTGGCTTAGGGCATTATTCAGAGTATGGGATGAAGTAGGTAGAAAAATGAGTATCAGTAATATTCCATCTGACAGGATCATAATGATTGGACCAGAAAGGACCTTAAAGCTCATCCAGTTCCAACTGTGCTGCCACAGGCAAGGACACTAGACGAGGCTGCTGAAAGCCCCATCCAACCTGGCCTTGAAGTCTATTTCTTTATGATATCTAATAAAAGGTGGTTGGATATTCCTGCTCCTGAAGAACAAGAAAGCATGCAATTTTGGTAAGACTAGAGATTTTACAAAGTGATCAAGACTGCTTAAAATTATTAAAAAACGTAGATGCCAACTTACACTGACTTAAAAACAGGTTTAAAGAAGCTTTATGAAAATACGAAGTTAATTAAAAATTAAGATGTAGACTGAAGCACTAAGCCTCATGCATATAAGTCTCAGCATTTAGTATTCCAGAGAACCGTCACTGGTATTTCAGTAAACAGCTCAGTGTAAACACATTTCTGTCTCAATACATCTCAAAAAAAAATAATCCCAGGCTTCATGTCTTTAAAGAGGAAAAGTGTTATTTAAAATTAAAATGCAGCCTATTTCACTTTTCCTGCCTGGAACTCGAGTTGTGTACAACTACGCTGAATACAGAAAATATCCCAAGAATGTAAGAGAAACATTGGAATAATGTAGATTTCCCCCCCACCCCCCAGTTTTCATACCCAATTAATATCATAGCCAAATGTAAATACTTTACAATCAACATACTATATAAAGTCTTAAGCCCATGAAGGGTCTGCCCCCAAGCTCCACCATGTGACAGACAAGTCAGCTACATAAAGCTAGAGATACTTATGCCTAACTTTAGTGGCTAGACACTAAGTTCTCATTTACTGAAGGAAGCCAGGAAATCCCTTTCACTTCAGTATTCAGATAACAAAACTATTTTTTCCACATATATCCACAGACCATTAAGCCAGGTAGTATTTGCATTTTGTAGAAAATTGGAAAGCATCCCATTGCCAACTCAGCGACTCATAAGGCAGTATTTAAACTGCACATTAGACTTACTTAGTATTCTCAGCCACACTGCTCTGCAGCTAGAAAAATCTACAGAGACCCAATTCTCATGGAGTCCCAGCATAAAATGCACATAATAGCGATTCACTGTAGGTGCACACTGAACTGTTTTGTCTCCCACCATGAAGACAGACAGTTGAGCTGCACACATTCATAAAAGTGCACTGCTGTTTATTTTCACTGCTTACAGTGCAAGTGAAGTCAAACTGACAGCAATGAACAGCTCAGTAGGGTAAGAACAAAAT